GGGGTCGCCGTGAGTACTCGCGAGGCCGTCCTGTGGGGTGGCCGCCACGGGGACGGGGCGGGGCGGTCGGGCCGCGGGAAGGGTGTGGGGCCCGCCCCGCCTCGGCCGGGGTGGATGAAGTGAGGGGCTTGAACTGGGTGACGCTGAAGGACCCTGCTAGAGTTGACAGGCTTCGCTCAGGTCGGGCGCCTGGCGATACGGATCGGACACAGGGCTTCTTCCCCGGGGAGGCAGGTGTAGGAAATCTTTGGGGTCTCTGGAGGAACCCGGAGAAAAAGAGCTGTAGCTGCTTCCCCAAGGGAGGCCTGAGGGCCTGTCCTGGAAGCGCGGGTGGTAGAGTGTTTTCGGAGCCAACCCCGTCGTTTCTCTGCACGGGGTACCCGAGATAGCTTTAGCCTGCGGGAATCGCCCCTCCGTAGGTTCTTCTTTAACACTCTTTGTTCAGTGGCCTAGTCTTTCAGAGAAGGGAGCACTCGCTGTTGGAGCAGAGTAACCTCCTCTCCCAGGACTACAAAGCCGAGAGTATAAACGTTGAGCTCGGAGGTTTCTCTGACCAGATGTAAAGTTGTCACACCGAGAAGCGCCCCTGGACCTAGGGAAAGGCCTTTGTGATCCACACTTGAGGCGTATTTACATTTGACCTATTCCATTGCAGATTTATAAAGCTTCTTTCAACTGTCATCATCCAAATTAAACACTGGGCTGAACAACACCCTTGCTCTGGGTTCTCTTCAGTCTATATTTGGCCTCAAGTTCTCTTGAAAGCTTCCTTCCTTTATTTAATTTAGATGAATAAGTCTTTCTTAGTTCATAGTTTCCTTAATAATTCATTATAACTCCATCAGATGAGTATTTGATGTGAATTAGACTTGTCAAATGTGCTTAAGTCCCAATACCACTATCCCCTTGCTTTTGACCTTAAGCAAGTCGCTTGACCTCTGTGGGCCTGAGTATTCTGTCTGTAGCATAAAGCCTTTAAATTAGGCCATCTTTCATGCTTCTTCCTCTTTAAAACGTCTGTGATTCTGTGACTTCCATGGCCCACCATTTGCCCCTTCCCACTCTTCACCATTTAAACCCACTCTCTGTCTCTCCAGAGAGTAAGTCCCTTTCACTAAAGCAGCCTGGTTTGAAAAAGCTGGTAGTCTCTAAACTGTCTCTTCCCTAGACAAGAAAAACTCCCTGAACTACTATTTCTTCTTGGGACAGCAGCAGGAACCAAGCAACAACAGCCCTTGGAGAAAGGCTAAGTTTTTCTTGACTTCTGCGGTGACAGAAACCTTAAAAGAAAGCTGGTACTTCTGACCCTCGCTGCCATCATCCTACCACCAAGCCCAGGACAGCCCAGGCTGAACATTAGTTGCTCCCTCTGGACTCTTCTGTGATCATCCCGATCAGCACCTGTTTTCTTTTCAAATTTCACAAACCCAGTCCTCAGATCTTCATATTCTGGTTCTCAGCTGCCCTTGAAGGTGAATGGAATCTTGTTTTTTAAAAATCATTTTGTGTATGCGTTTGTCTGTGTAGAAGCATTTGGATTCTTGTATATACCTTTCATTTGGGTCAAGGAGCCTCTTTTACTTAGTGTCCAGTGAGGGTTCATTCACTCCTTCATTCATTCAATCAGTATGTGTTAAGGGACCACTATGTGCCAGGCACTGTACTAATTGCTGAGAATATAGGGAGTGAAAACAAATGGAGCTTACATTCTGATTGCTGATAAAGACAAACAAACAATAGTATGTCAGAACATGGTTAGTGCTGTAGAAAAAACTAAAGCCGGGAAGTGAGGGATAAAGAGGGTCTGTATGTGTGTTAGGTTGTTGTTTTATTTAGGATCGTCAAGGTGACCTTTGAGCAGAGATCTGAAAGAGGGAAGGAGCAAGCCATGTGACTATCTGGGTAAAAAGCTTTCTAGGAAGGAGAAACAGCAAACGCAAAGACCCCTAGTTGGGAATATGCTTGACATATTTAAAGAAGAGCAAGGAAGCCATTGTGGAGTCTCGGGGATAATACTCCTGTTTATATTTAGATTTGACTTTCTAGGGAGAAGCCCCCGCAAGAGAAGCTTCTGATTTTTTTTTTTTAACTTTATATTACGAAAATTTCCAATTATACACAAAAGTAGAAAGTACAAGAAACTCTTATGTACCTGTCGCCCAGCTTCATCAATAATCCACACTTTATTTCATCTTTTTTTTCTTTTCCTTCTTTTTTTTGGTGCTGGAGTAGTGTTTTGGAGCCCTGGTGGCACAGTGGTTAAGTGATGACGCTGCTAACCAAAAGGTTGGCAGTTTGAATCTACCAGCTGCTCCTTGGAAGCCCCATGGGGCAGTTCTACTCTGTTCTATGGGGTTGCTGTGGGATTTTAAAGCAAATCCCAGGCAACCTGTCTTTTCATCCCTAAAAACTTCAGTTTCAGTTTCCTTTTGCATATTGTTTAAATGGGTCAGGAAGTACTATCAGCTGGAGGACAGTTATGCTGAGTTTGCTCTGGTATTGTGGCTTATGTCCCTATCCCGGATCGGTGACCAGACTTAAATTGGGATCTGAACAGACCACAGGCCCTTGGAACTCACAAGGATCTAGAACATTGATTCTCAAATTTTATCATGCATCAGAATAACTTGGAGGGCTTGTTAAAGCATAGATTGCTGAGCCCCACCCTTGGGGTTTCCTATTCAGTAGTCTTGGGGTGGGGCTGAGTGTGTGCATTTCTAACAGCTGATGCTGTGGTTTGGTTTCACAGACCCCACTCTGAGAACCACTGATCCAGAAACCTAAGGTTCAATAGACTCAAGAGACCAAGAACATCTGTGTTTAAGGTTGGAGTGGGTTAGGCTGAGGTATTTGCAGAACCAGGAAGACTGAAACAGTGGTTTTTAATTTTGACTTCACAGTAGAATCACCTGGAGAGTTTTTTTTTTTTTTTTAATTTAATACTTGGGCTCCAACCCCATGAAATTGAATTAATTGGTATTGGGTGGGGCTGTGCACTTGTGTGTGTGAAAAGTTCCCTAGGTGATTGTACTTGTGACTTGCTGATCTAGAGAGTAACAGAAAGCTTTTCAATTTGCTTGTAGAGTAGTTTTTGCCACGCTGTGCCATTAAAGCTTTCATAAATTTGGCAGATAATTTTTTTTCTACTTAATGTGGAGGCTTTTGTGGGACTAAAAGTGGCTAGTGTGGGGTTGGGGTTCCTCAGAGTTAGGAGGGAACAGGGAAACTATGTGAAGGGAGTAGGGGTCACTTTTTCTGAGCATTTGTTGGGCTCGTTATTGCATTTTTATTTTAGGGATGGGTTCTAAGATGAGTCTAGGGCATTATTTTGGCCATAAAGACTCAGACCATGGCTCCCAGAAGATATCCAGTATTGCTGAGGACTTTTTAAGGTAGCTGCGATTGTCATACAGAGACTTGTAGTGATTCTGTTGCTTAAAAGGAGATAATGACTCAGTCTGGAGAAATGACTGGGCATAAAGAGTCCAAAAAGAATCTCAGATTCTGGTTCTTAACTCTGGTGGGGAGTGGTACTGTGAAGACTGTTCCAAAATAAAATGACTGGAGAGTAGCATAAGCATCTGATTCTGCCACCATCTTTTGGCTCCAGGGCTTGATTCAGCATTAGGAACTACAGCAGGAACTTGGGACTCTGCAGTCATCAGTCAGATGACTGCAGACATGTTCCAGTCCCCGCTTTCAGCATAAACTGTGCGTTCATAGTTCATTTTCTTCAAAGAACCATACATGTAAGTGTGTGTGTACATGCATGCAAGTATGTCTGTGTGCAAGTATCTGGACATACATGTAATGAAAGTGTATCTCTGAGCTGTTAAGTGGTGATGAAACCGGCTGTTGTCTACTTTCCATAGGACACAGTGACTTGTCACCACCGCAGCAGCAGAGTCTACCATCTCCAGCAGATCTCCTGTCAGCTCCTGACATTGCCCTCTCCATTGTCTCCCTTTGTGGCCTCCTAAATGCCCATCTCGTTGGCCTGGGTTCAACTGGTAGTATGGAGGGATGCTGCCTAGCACTGACCTGGGAGTGTGAGTGACCCACTGACCCAATGGTGAGAACTGACTGCCCACCTGGGATGGATGAAGGTTTCACCTCTCCAGCTTATCATCCAGGGGGTTGATGGGACAAAGTGCAGATCTCACCCTTTCCTGGTATTTTCCCTTCAATCCTATTGGAAAGTGGAGTGGCTATTCGCAGTTAAAGGAAGGAGAAGGAGCATGGAAACAGTATTACTTGGTGGGTGTGTATACGTGTGTGTGTGTAGGTGGCTTTCCTTGGGAAAGAAGGGAAGAGTTAAAGTAAGGGATTCAAAAAGAGCTTAGGTGTGCTTGGGAGCTGCCTTGGGTAATGATCCTAGGAAAGGCCAGCTTGTACTAGAACCCAGATATGGCTGGCAGTCAACCTTGACACTGAAATTTAAGTCTTTTGTTTTCCTCCTTCTGCTGGCTACCAGAGCCTGAATCATACTGAGACTTAAGAAAGCCAGAATTCCCTACTGTTTTCTTCCTCATCCCACTGAGTCAGAGTTAGGCCATGGAGATTCAGAAAAAGCCTGAGACCCTACCAAAGGGTGAGGCAAAGGAAGAAAGAGATTAGGGCCTCAGTTACTCTCTCCCAAGGGACCTTCTCCCACTCTTTGTGGGAGCCTATTTCCCATCCTATCACCCCACCCCGTGCCGTGGGATAACAAGAACCTAACGGTGGGTTATGTTATTTCTCATCACTAGGACATCAAAGGCCAGTTCTGGAATGATGATGATTCGGAAGGAGATAATGAATCAGAGGAATTTCTCTATGGGGTTCAGGTGAGGCTATGGCTGGAAGACCCAAGTTGGATGGTCTAGATGTGTGCTTCTCTCTGGATGCCTTAGGAGTGAGAGAGGTTGTTCTAAAGCAGAGATGAGTTGAGGATATGGTCTGAGCATGATCTTGTCAGAGCTGATCGCATGTCCTTGTTCCTGCTTTGGACTCATACCTGTCCCAGAGTACACCATAGTCTCTGTCCGTGGAGGCTACTCATATGTTCTTAGTTAGAAATAATTATTTTCATAGTCTCTTCTCTCTCTAGGCAACCCCAAAAACCCATTGCCGTTGAGTCAGTTCCGACCCATAGTGACCTTACAGGACAGAGTAGAACCACCCCATAGGGTTTCCAAGGCTGTAAATCTTTATGGAAACAGATTGCCACATCTTTCTCCTGCAGGGTGGCTGGTTGGTTCAAATTGCCAACTTTCAGTTAGCAGCTGAGTGCTTAACCACTGCACCACCAGGGCTCCTTTCTCACTAGCCGGGGGGATATTTCATTCATAAAGTTCAAATTCTTAAAAGATTATCCTGCCACTGATTCCTTAATGCCATCACTGCCCAGGGCATGATTGTGAGCAGGAGTGTCAGGGAGTCTTCAGACAAAACCAACTAGAGTTGAATGCTGTGCTTTTCAGCCTGTTCCGAGTTCTCATAGAAGGTATACCTGAGGATTCTGGTCATCGAGAGGAAACGCTGGAGACCTAAGGATGTAAACTCCTCAAACAAAGCCTGCAGTTGGTCTGCTGTAAGGTCTTAGACTGGTGATGAGAGGGAGACTTTGTCAGTGAAAGCCCCACCTAGGACCACCACCAAGAGCCCCTTCATGTAGGCAGATTTCATTTTGCCTGTACTGCTGCTGTTTGATTTTCCCTCTTCCTGGGATCTCTCCATGTTCAATCTTTCATCCCCTTCTTCTCCACCTTGTTTATCTTTTTCCACTCCTCCCTACCACCACTATTTTTGCCACTGACTTAGGGGAGCTGTGCAGCCGACCTGTATCGACACCCACAACTTGATGCAGATATTGAAGCCGTGAAGGAGATCTACAGTGAGAACTCTGTATCCATCAGGTGGGACTCTACTTCAGGGATGGCAGGGGAGCGAGCCATTGCCTTCTGAGTTGTTAAAAGGCTAGGGGTTTTTCCTTTTTATAGTGTGATAGGAGGTCTGTGGACATAGATAAATTAAAAGCTTAATGATAGTGGGAGTCGCTCAGAATACTTCAGCTTGGCTGACAGGAGCCAGTGGGAGAAGTATGGCCACTTTTCTTAGAAAGTCCCTCTAATCCTAGACCCCTCTAGGCTGGTAGTTTTCACCTTTTGGCCTGGAGAAGACCCTAATCATGTGAGTGGCTTGAGGCTATAGCTAAGAGCCTAGATATAAGGCTACCTTCCACCCTTCCCTTCCTTCTTCCCTGCCCCCAGGCTCTGTTCTCCTTTCACCTCAGTCTCTGTTTCCTTCTTTCTCCCTTAATGATTCTCACCTGTGTCTCTATAGAGAATATGGAACTATCGATGACGTGGACGTTGACCTCCACATCAACATCAGCTTCCTTGATGTAAGTGGTGCTAGTGCCTCCCAACAACATGTCTGGCTGGGCTTGTGGGTTTTGTCATATAGGCCAGGAGTCTTGTTCCTGAGTGCTGTATTTGGAGCACATATTCTTCATCCCTGTCTTTCCTAGACCATCAGCAGACAGTGGTGTGTACTGTCACGTGCATGTGTACGTCATACGGGGAAAGCATCAAACCATTCCTCTCTGTTGCTAAGCTAGTAACTATTTCCCTTATTGTTTTAGGAAGAAGTCTCTACAGCCTGGAAGGTCCTCCGGACAGAACCTATTGTGTTAAGGCTGCGATTCTCTCTCTCCCAGTACCTTGATGGACCAGGTAAAGGCAGTGACTTTGGTTATTTGGGTGTTCTGAGTGTGGTCTGATCCAGTCATCAGCCAACTGAAGTAGAGAAAAACTGGGAATAAGGCCATTGGTAGGAGCTTTTCAGTCTCCTCTCATTGGTGTCTTTATCCCCTAGCACCTGATAGCCATCCCCCTAAAGACCTTCTTGGTTAATGAAATTGTTTTCTCTGATTTCCAGATATCATTTTTTCTTTGCCTCTCTCCTCAGCTTCCTACTGAGGACACTTGAACTTGCCCAGTCAGCTCCCAAAGTCTACCCTCTGCCTCGGATGTTTCCTTCCTCCACCCTTACTGTTTAGAGTACGCTGCAGCAACTGTTTTTAGAATCTAAGCAAGCTATTCCATGGAACTGTGCCTTCAGATTCCCAGGAGGATAGAGATATGTACATACTAGGAACTTTCTTTTCTCTTTGCAGAACCGTCAATTGAGGTTTTCCAGCCATCGAATAAGGAAGGGTTTGGGCTGGGTCTTCAGTTGAAAAAGTAAGAACTTTGATCTTTCTTGGTCATGGACATGTGAGGGGAAGACAGATGGATATATGTGGATGGACAGGCAGACCCTTGGATGGATGTTGGTTTTATACAAAAAATATCCTTCTGCAGTATACCCAAGGAAGGCTAAAATAAATTTGGGGAGCCAAGCTTATGGTGGTGGCAGGGGAGCCTGTGGTTCAGGGATATCTGGCTTTGAGACTTCCTGGATGTGACAGGAGAGGCTTATCACTACTTACAATTTAAAGAAAAGTACAAACCGGGAATCAGTCATGCTGTTCACATTTCCTCTTACAGTTTCCTTATAGACTCTAGGATCTCTGATAATTTTAGTTTGTTGGATGTGTTGACTATCTTGCTAAGTGTTTGGTATACAAAGAGAAATGAAGCACAGATTCTACCCTTAAAAGAAGTTTCAAATAGAGTCCAGTGGATACATGTTGTAATATAAGTGAATATGTAAGGTTTAGAAAGAACACAGAAGAAGGGATGACTCAGTCTGGTGACAGGTGGAGGAGGGCTATGAAGGAAAGAATGAGAGGCAGATTAATGGTTTTCAAGGATGGATAAGCGCCGTCCGTATAGACAGATTCTGAGAGTGAGTAACATTTGCAGAGATACAGTCATGTAAAGCAGCATGTGTGTAGGGTGCTTCAGGTAGTTAAATATTGCTCTTTTTTTTTTTTTTATTGTACTTTAGATGAAGGTTTACAGAACAAATTAATTTCTCATTAAACAATTAATACACATATTGTTTTGTGACATTGGTTACCAACCCCACAACATGTCAGCACTCTCGCCTTCTCAACCTCTGGTTCCCGTGACCAGCTTTCCTGGCCCCTCCTGCCGTCTCGTCCTTGCCCCTGGGCTGACGTGCCCATTCGGTCTTGTTTTGTTTTATGGGCCTGTCTAATCTTTGGCTGAAGGGTGAACCTCAGAAGTGACTTCATTACTGAGCTAAAAGGATGTCCAGTGGGTCATACTCTCAGGGTTTCTCCAGTCTCTGTCAGGCCAGTAAGTCTGGTCTTTTTTGTGTGAGTTCAAGTAGTTAAATATTTCTTGAGTATCCAAGGGGAGACTGGTAGGAACCAAAGCCAGAGAAGTAAGGAGGGGTTCAAATCAGAAAGGATCCTGGGCTTTTATAGACAGTGGGGAGCATTGAAAGGTTTTAGGCAAAGAAAGGACGTGATCAGATTTAGTTTTAGAAAAACTATTCTGGTAGCGTTGTTCAAAACTGGTTAGACGGGGTGAGATAGGAAACCAGAACCAGTTAAGTAGCAGGTTTTTTAAGAAGTCCAGACATGAGATGGTGAAGGCCTGAAGTAAAGTGTGACCATAGGTAAGAATGGAGATGAAAGAGATTAGAGAGATTTGGAGAGTATAAAATCACCAAGACTTGAGTGATTTGGATGTGTTGGATATGGTCATAAGAGCGAAGGAATAGTGGAAAATTGCACCTAGATTTGCAGGCCAGATGTCTGGGTAAATTGTGATACCTCCAATTTAAATAGAGATACAAGAAGAAGAACAGGGTTTTGGGATGGGGATAGATAATTAGTTCTGTTTTAGACATTTGTTTAAAGTTAAAGTTGAGATATGCAAGTATGCAAGTGCAGATCCTCAGTAGACAGATATGTGGATTTGGTACTTACAGAAGTTAATGTTGAAGATATACATCAGTGTATGGATGTTAATTACAACTAGTATAGAGTATGAGAGATTGCTAAGGAAGAGCATGATAGAATAAAATAGGATCAAGGGCAAAACACTATTTATAACACCCAGTCAAAATACCCAAGAAGCCAGAAGGCAGACAGAGGAAGAGAAAACCCTCAAGGTAGGTCAGGGAAGTAGAAGAACAGGAATAAAATGGTGCCATAGAAGACAAGGGAGGAGAGTTTCCACAAGGAGGCCAGGTATCAGAATAAGAGGAGAACTTAAGAGTTTCTGTTGGATTTAGTAATTTTAGTGGATTGGTGAAGGTAGAAACCAGGATGCAGTTAGTTGAGAAGTGAGTGGTAGGCGAGGAAGGGGAAACAATAAATATAGATTGAGAAATTGGATGAGGATGGAAAGAGGAGAAAGAGGTAGCTAGACTGAGGTTCAGGTACTTGAAATTTTTTATAGGCTGCAGGACAGGAACTGATACAAGAGAGCAGGGATGATTGATAGATCAAAGTCCCTGAAGAGTCAAGAAGGGGCTGAGATCTAGAGCCTGGTAGAGGAATTGATCTTAAATAGGGGAGTCACCTTGTCTTCAGAGAATGGAGGGATCGAGATAAGGATGAAAATAGAGATAGGTTTTGTAGTAGTGTTGGAAAATTAAGGGAGCTCATCTTTGATGGCCTCGGTTTTCTCTGTTAAGATGAAAGAGTTTGATTGTAGATGAAGTTAGAAACTTAAGATGATAAGAGTTTAATAGCTTAGAATAATACTAGAGAAAACTGATCAAGGACCAGTGAAAGGATTGACAACTCTAGCTGAGGGCCCAATCTAAGTTGGAAACCATAAATCGTAGTGATGTAATTTTTCTCCACATGAAGGGACTAGTACCCCTCATGTCCCTAATCTTCTTCACTATTCACAAGGCAGAGAGTGGTACTCACTTCCATCCCATCACTTCTGTCCCACTCTCTCTAGAGTCATTTCTTGGCAATAAAAATTCAAGGTTCACAGCCTTTGAAGGCTCACCTTGATGTCTCCTTCTAAAGGTAATAGGAATGACTATTTACCCCCTTACCTTGAATAGGTGCTTTAGGACAGTACATTTCCATGTGCTAAGGTCATATCAAGGGAGTCTTCAAACACATATTCCCCCACCACAACTATTTTTGCAGTCCCTGGATCTGAATTTCTGATTAATTGCCTCTCTTAGTCCTTATTTATTGACCAACTCTCTTGCCTGAGCTTTCCTAAGCCTAGTCTCTTTGATCCCTTAGGATCCTGGGCATGTTCACATCCCAACAATGGAAACATCTCAGCAACGATTTCTTGAAGACCCAGCAAGAAAAGAGGCACAGTTGGTTCAAGGCAAGTGGTACCATCAAGAAGTTCCGAGCTGGCCTAAGCATCTTCTCACCCATCCCCAAGTAAGTGCTCCCCTAGGAACTGATAATCTCTGATCACCTTAGTCTTGTCTTATCCCTCACCCCTCCATCTTGATTTTCTAAACTTATGTTGTCTGTCCTTTCTGTAAGTTCTCTGAATGCTGTATCTTTCACTGTTAACACTACCCATGTGGTGCTGTCATCTGTGCGTCCTTACCCTTCTACTCTTGACCCAATACTCATACCCCATCCTTTATGTAAAACACAGTACACGTAGTAAATGGTGTGTATTTGGAGAAATGCATGCTAATCTCTACGTCTTTGACTCTCATGCTTATTCCCCAGCCTAAGGAGCAGAGTGAGGAAACAGAAACTAATTCCTCCTGCTTATGCAGGGTACATCGATCTGTTTTCTAGGTTTGGGAAATAAATATTCCATTCTTTGACCCCAGGTTTACCTGATTGTTGTTATTGGGTAGGTTTTTTTGGGGGGTTCATTTTGTTTTCTCCCCCTTTTTCTCTGGGTGACTTGTAATCTTCCCAAAGACAGATACAAACCCAGGTGGCAGATATTGACGAGTACTAAACAGATGGCTCTTGGGGTCACAGATTTTCAGCTTACAGGCACCATTATTGACAATCAGACGTTAGGCTTTGGGGATGTAACTAATTTTGCCTAGCACGGTGTTTAGTATTTAATAAAAAAAAAAAAAATACATGTACAATGAATAAATGAAATAGGCATCCTGTCCAGAGGATCATTCCATACCAGCCTAGATACCATAGAGAGTGACCTGGGCTCTACCTCTGCCTACCCTTCATGGATTTGTTCCAAAGAAAGCACAGATAAGGGCATAAGAATCAAGTTCAGATGCATAATCTACTTACCTTGACAGTGTTTAAGATCCAGTGGAATTTTCTTCAGATACAAGTTTGTCTTTGGCTTTACCCATCCTGGCCTGTATCTCTCTTAGCTCCAGTCCTCTTCTAGGACTTATACTGAATCCCCAGTGTCATCACTTCTCTTTGCTGTCTCTTCCCCAGGTCTCCCAGTTTTCCTATCATACAGGACTCCATGCTGAAAGGCAAACTGGGTGTACCAGAGCTTCGAGTTGGGCGCCTCATGAACCGTTCCATCTCCTGCACCATGAAGAACCCCAAAGTGGAGGTGTTTGGCTACCCTCCCAGCCCCCAGGCAGGTCTCCTGTGCCCCCAGCACGTGGGCCTCCCTCCCCCAGCACGGACCTCTCCTTTGGTACATGGGCGGGGAAGGTTTGATTTGGGCCTTAGGAGGATGGGAGTGGAAATGTAGGAGATAGCTACTCAAAATAGATGGAAGTATGGTTGTCCAGGCATCATTAATCAGTGCTGGGCATGTACCATGAGTGGTTAGAATGGAATACATTTCTTATAGCTGAAAACTTACATCCAAACTGGCCAGTTTTTATAGTAGGCCATAAAGCAGGGTCTGGAGATGGTCATCCCAAGGAGATGTCATATATGATTTTATAGGTTGTAGGGCTGGGGATAGGACTTGGTAGTCAGCTGCTGCACTAACCTGTTCCAACTACCTTGCAAGAGGATCAAGGCCAGGTGGGCCCTTTTCTTTTGGAGAAAACGTCTCAAGGTCTTCTCTCCAACTTTGGGATTACTTAGGCTGATCCAGGCTAGGACTTAGCTACTTCTGGAGAATTCTAGGTGATGGGTGTAAGTAAGGTCTGTCTAGACCTCAGCTTCATGGGAGGCTCATGGGGTCTTTTTATTCTCACCAGGTCAGTGGTCACTGCAAGAACATTCCCACTCTGGAGTATGGCTTCCTCGTTCAGGTACTTCTAGAGCTCCTTCTCTCCTGTTGTCTGACCCATCTGATCCGTTGGTAGTGGTCTCCTAGCTCCTTAGAGTCATTTAACAAATATTTTCTGGGTTGCTTTGCTCCCAAAACTATACTAAGTAGTGTATGGATAGGAGGAAAGAAGGCACAGGTCCATCCTCAAGAAGCTTAGCGTTACTGGGAAGACAACACTAACAGACCACTTACGATCAAGTGCCAAACGAGGCACTGCACGTTTTAACTGTGTAGGTATCTAGATGAGGGAGAGGGGTGAACACTAATGTCTTTACAGTCCTGAACATCCTGGCTCAAGTGGTGTCCAGTTTTCCTCACAGACCTCTGTCACTGCTGGTCATTTGCTTCTTATTGTAATCACTCGGCTGCTTCCACATGCTCTCACTTTTGCATCTCTGTTACCTTTGTTTATGCCACTGCCTCCACCTGCCTTCTTCCCCGTATCTGCCTATCAAAGTCAAGCTCAGATGCCACCTTTTCATGGAATGTTCTCTGTTACCCTAACTATATTAGCTGGAAATGATCTCTCCCCTCACTGCTTTTTGTTTTGTGTGGCACCTATGTGTCACATACCATATGCTGCCTTAAATTGTAATTAAGTTTTTTTAAATAATATTGTGTTTTCGGTGAAGGTTTACAGAGCAGTTGAGGTTCCCATTCAGCAGTCTTCACAGGTTGTTCAGTGACAGTGGTTGCATTATTTACAATGCGTGAATATTTTCATTTGTTTTGGTTGTTCTGATTCCAGTACTGTGTTTTTCCTGCCCCCTTACATTCTCATCTTTATTTTAAAGTAGTTGTTGACCATTTGGTCTCATACGAATTGTAATTAATTGTTATATATGCCACATCTCCTGAGTTTAGGTCTTAGAAGACAAAGAAAATCTTTTATATATCATTGCAACATCAGGAGACCTTTCACAGAGCTGGATAAATAGTGGGCGTTCAATAAATCTATATTAAATGAATAAATAAAACCCTTTGTATGTCCTACTACCAGCCCAAAAGTATGTGAGATGGAAGCAGCCTGATTGCAATCAAAGTGCAGCTGATTGGAAAAGCCATGTTAAGACAGAGTGTTTATAAAATGCTTTAGGATATTGCTGTGTGAGCTTTGGATTTGTGCTGTCTTCCCATCACAGAGTTCTGTGTGTGGTATTTACTAGTGGATAGGCTGATTTTCTAGGTAGTTGAAATGACTTCTCAGGCCTCCTTGTCACCTGATCATGGACTAAATACCTGTCCCAAATTACTACAACTATTGTTAGTAGTTTGATGAGCGCCTGTTAATGTTTATAAAATACTTTCAGAAAATCACCTCATTCCTCTCAACACCATTATGAGGTGAATAATGCCCCACTTTATAAATGAAGAAACCAAGGCTCAGGTTGACTGCCTTGCCCAAAGTTACATAAGATATATAAGTAGAGGTGGGACTTTAACCAAGTCTTCTAAATCTGAGGTCATTGCCGGTTTTATTTTTTTTATACTATACAGTCTTAGCTTTGCAGTTGGGTCGTCAATTTAAGTGCAAGGCCCAAGAATAAATCTTGCCCCGGGTACAGGACTGGGAGGGAGGAAGGTAGCTGGAAAAGATGCTTAGATTATTTCGCATATCTGCCTGTACTTCCAAAAGATTAATAGAATCTGTTCTTTCCTCAGATCATGAAGTATGCAGAGCAGAGGATTCCGACATTGAATGAGTACTGTGTGGTGTGCGATGAGCAGCACGTCTTCCAGAATGGCTCCATGCTCAAGGTATAGGCCTCTGCTCTGTGACCCTCTTCCTTGGGTCCTTGGCCAAGGACCCCTCTTATTGCTTCCTTCCTGGATCTGTGGTAAAGGTAGAATTCTGTCCACACTCCCTGAGACTCTAAGAATAATTGCTTTTCACAGAATCTTGGCAGTGCTGTTTGGAGAAATGAGGATATGAGAATATTTTTGAGGATAGAGTCCCCACCTAGCATTGAAAAATAGGAATCAGATACTAACCAGCATGATTGAACATGATACTGTCCTCACGGACTCCAAGTCAAGGTGGGTAGATAGAGAATCATAATCACAATATGTATTAAGTGTAAGGAGAGGTAGAAGCAGTGATGTAAAAACTACAGCATCTGACTACTAGGGAGGTCAAGGAAGGCTTCATAAAGGAAACAGCATTGATTCTCAAGCTTATGTGTAAGTCATTTGAATTTAGATTTCACTTATTTTTAGAATAGCTTGCTTCTGACATAGAGGCCCCAAATTCCTACCTTGTTCTAGAGGATTGTCCCTCTCTCCCGCAGCACCTTCTTACTGCATACCTCCCTTTCCCCCACCCCTATCTCTTTAATATGTCCCATTCAGCCAGCTGTCTGTACTCGTGAACTGTGCGTCTTCTCCTTTTACACACTGGGAGTCATGTCTGGAGCTGCAGAGGAGGTGGCCACTGGAGCAGAGGTTTGAAAGCGGGAAAGGGGGCTAGGGAATTGGGATCAAGAAAGAAAGGCAAGGGAACCCAGCAGTTTTACTCTCTGGAATTTAACCTACAGAAATGCCTTTATACATAAGGATGTTCACTATACTATTGTATGTAATAAGAAGAAAAGGGTACAACTCCATCTATAGGGGATCTGGTTACAGAAATTTGGTACTTCTTTATAGTGGAAATACTATCCAACTATTATTTATGGATAGAAAATTATAATGTTATGTAAAAAAGCAAATACAATAGTATGTATATTACAATTTTTTTTTTCTTAATTGCCTATATAACAAAATGGGAAACCCTGGTGGTGTAGTGGTTAAGTGCTACAGCTGCTAACCAAAAGGTCAGCAGTTCAAATCCACCAAGCGCTGCTTGGAAACTATGGGACAGTTCTTCTCTGTCCTGTAGGTTCACTATGAGTCGAAATCGACTCGAGAGCAACAGGTTTTCGAGTTTTATATAACAAAATAGCTATTTCCATAGGAAAAGTTTCCGGAAGGATATACATTAAGCTTAAGAAGTTATCTATGAGGATTAAGATTTGTTTGGAGGTGGGGGGATGATTTTTATCTTTTCTTTAATCACTTTGGTTTAATTTGAATTTTTTTAATGAGCTTGTATTTTCTAATTAAAAACCACAAACATACTTGCTTTTAAAAAGAGCATCAGGGAGAAATGCTCAGAGACCCTGAAAGGTAGAGCTGGGCTGGATACTTTGTGACTCCAGTATTGGGAAATCATTAGCTTCTGCTGCCTTTGTCTCCTGTCTCCTCAGGTAGTAGATCTGCTGGTGGCCATGTGCAGGGCAGCTTTGGAGTCCCCTAGGAAGAGTATCATCTTTGAGCCTTATCCCTCTGTGGTGGACCCCACTGATCCCAAGACTCTGGCCTTTAATCCTAAGGTATGATTGCTTGGGAAGAAAATGGGGCTAACGTACAGAAATAGGAAAAGATAATGGGAGACTGTGGATGTCATTCCAATATACACAATAACTTAGAACAAGGAGAAAAAGAAGTGGAATTCTTGGCTGCAAGGTTGCGACTCTCGGAAGGCAAGAGTCAAGGGAGTACGGTGTCATGGCTTGTGCTTATAGGGTTGGGTAGAGAGGCGGCCCCTCATCGCCCAGGAAATGAGCAAGTGGGCCATAGAAGAAAGTGACCTTTCCTGGATGGGAACTCCTAGTGGGAGAGAAGGCAGACCCTCTGCCTTGTTTCTTGGGACCTCTTCAGCCGTAGGATTTAGCTGTTTCAATGACTAAATAGCTGAGTTTGTCAGAAGAAGGGGAGGAGAATTTATATGTGTTACATCAAGATGGGGAAGAATATAGACTTTGAGCCAGACAGACCTGGATTCCATTTGAGGTTTTGGTGCTCCTTAGCTGAATGGTGTCAGTCAGGTCAGTTAACCTATCTCAACCTCAACTTCCTTATCTGTAAAGGGAATAATACCTACCTTGTACATATTATAAAACTGACAGATAATATATGTAAGGAACCCAGCACAGTGGCTCACTATGACTTTCATTACTATGTATTAGGCCCAGTACTAGGCTCTTCACGTATGTTATTTCATTTAATCCTCAGAGCATCTCTATGAGGGTGGTAGGTGTTACCTTCATTTACAAACAGGGATGCTGAGGTTCTGAGAAGTAACTCACCCTAGTACTTCTAGCTGATAAAAAAGAACTAGCGTGTGTTTCCAAAACTGTCTGACATTAAGCTTGCATTCTTTTCATTACATTGTACACTGTTTCCCTTGGGCTGAGACTTCTTTTGTGCATCTGGCCCTCCTTTACGTCACATCTTAAACTCCCCTCCACTTTTCCTCATCTGGTTCTTCCCATTGATTCCCCACAGAAGAAGAATTATGAGCGACTTCAGAAAGCTCTGGATAGTGTGATGTCCATCCGGGAGATGACCCAGGTATTCAGCCCTCTATCCCCTGCCCTCTACATGCCCAGCTCAAGTGTTGTGTTCTGCTTGGAATTCGTGGGAGTAGGGTGAAGAGTTAGAGATGCTACTCAGTGTCCTCACTGTATTTTCTCTAGTCTTCCTCTTTAACCTTCCCAATCCTTGTTCTCTGTTTTGTTAGCTATTACTCCTTCTCTTCACTCTTAATGTCTCTCTCAACCTTTAGCTTTGCTGCTAATTCCTTCATAGGTTGTTCATATTTAATGTTTTCCCCATAATTGTTAGGCAATTAGGGAAGTAAGGGAAAGATCTCTGCTTTGGGTTGGGAGGGTGAGGAGGGGGACTTGGAGTTAAGGAACTAGACCCAGGGGCCTACATCTTCTATCCTTCCAGGGGTGGGGCAGCCACATGGAGCAGTGACCATCCTTTGACTCAAGGCTGTCCCTCACCAGACTTCCCCACCCCTCATCTGCAGTCTCTGCATGAATAGACATTCATTTGTACTCACATTTACAGGTGGGCCTCTTCTCAGCAAATCCTATGTATCACAGTTCAGATTAACACATAAGATACGCCCAGGAGGAGTGATTTACGTGACAGAGGACCCCTTGCTTTATGTAAAGCTTTACCGCAGGAGTCCTTAGTTTAATTTTTCTGGGACATTGATTTATTTTTTCATTTACAATTAACTTTTTAGGGTTGTAGGAATTGCATAAAATGAGGGAGACCCACCTGCATGTTGTTTTGTAAACATCTTCAGTCATTTTCATATTTATGAGTCTTCCCAACCTGACTGAGGCTCCTTGAGGGTGGGAACCCCATCTCCTCTTGCCCCTGTGTGGCCTTCGACGCCTAGCCCTAGTCCCTGATAGTCAGCCTGTGGAAAGTGGGAAGGTGCTACCTCTCCTTAGAGTTAACCTCAAGGCCATTGTCTTCCAGGGTTCATATTTGGAAATCAAGAAGCAGATGGACAAGCTGGATCCCCTGGCCCATCCTCTTCTGCAGTGGTATGGATAGAATGACATCCTTCCCTAGGGGGTTATTGGACATGGAGCCTACACCTTCTCTTAGAGGTGGTTTCATCGTTGTTCTAGAGTTACTGCCATCATGGCTGTTTTTTCTTGGGTGTCTATTGATACACTTAGCCCTGAGAAGAACTCAGAATGTACAGAGAACCCACAGATTCTGATTTGGTGCCTCAGGTTCTCTTTAGGTATTGCATGTCCCAGTACGTGTTTGAGTGCTCCTTGCATGTAGGAATTAACACTATTCAACAAAGCTTTCTGTGCATCCATAGGGGCCTGTCTTCCCCCAGCACCCTTTTGTCCCCATCTCAGGGCCTTCCCTGATAATGTAGAATGTCCAGAGCCCTTAGGCACTGTTGTAATTCCCTTTTCCTAGCAAAAATTCTGACAATTCCCTACTGCCCTCCACCCCTTGCCCTCCCTCCCTGATCTTGATTTCTTTTCTGTTTTACTGACATAGCTTTCTCTTTGTAACTTGCCTCCCTCTTCCTAGTCAGTCTTTGATATCAGTACCTTTTTGCATGAGGAATGACCAGGAATAGAACATCCAGGGTGGCATCCCAGGTAGAGGATGAAGCACAAAAAAACAAATTATATCCAGCATAGGAGATAACGCTCCCTTGCGGAGCCCTGAATGTTTTATGCTTCTGTTCTCTCCTGTCCTCTGAGGTCAGTCAAGGTGCAGCCCAGTCTGTCCTTGACTCCTCGAGAAGTGTGTTCTAGTTTCTTTCTGTAGCCCAGCAGTAACTTTATCTCCATTCCTTCTTGTCCCTGAGAGCCTTCAGGCAGAATGGCTCCTAAGCCCTGGTTCTGTGTGTCTAAATCCCAGTTATAAGTTGTCACGATCCTAATAAAGACCTCTCATAACTTTTTTTGTAATAGATTGCTTGTGCCCTTCCTTTTGTACTGTCCTCTCTCTAGATGTAGCAGTCCACTTCCTACCCTTTATTTCTTTCATCCGTTGTTTAACTCCCCAGTAACTAACTGGTCTCTGGACAGGAGCTTCCATTTTGTGTTTTTATACACAAGCATTACTACTCACAAGGAAGGTCCGGATGGTGACCTCAACATTTCACATAATTGAGATGGTCTGGAATCCTTGTTTGTTCTCCCAGGGGTCAGAGGGAGACTGCTTCTTTGTTCAGGGTGGCCAAACCACACACTTAGTCTACCCTTTTCCTTATTTCTGTTTCTTCCCCAGGATCATCTCTAGCAACAGGTCACACATTGTCAAACTACCTCTCAGCAGGGTAAGTGACCATTCTCCCTCTAAACCCTTTAAGTTCCTGGCGGGGGCAGGGAGGGACTCCAAACCAGCTAGCCACATTGGTCCTCAGCTTGCCTAGTGGGCTCTGTCCATTAACCTTAGTCTTTGGACCTAAGCATGTCTCCCTTATATGGGGCCAGCACAAGTCTGAGTTGCTCCCTCTCTCCAACCCTTCCCTCCCTGATCTCCATTTCTGCTCTGTTCTCCTGACCCCACCCCACCCTGGGCAGCAGCTGAAGTTCATGCACACCTCACACCAGTTCCTCCTGCTGAGCAGCCCTCCTGCCAAGGAGGCTCGGTTCCGGACCGCCAAGAAGCTCTACGGCAGCACCTTTGCCTTCCAGTGAGAGGGGTGGAGATGGGGCAGGGGGCAACAGATAATGTAGGGGACTAGGAGGGCAAGTGCCTTCGAAGTATATGAGTTTGTGTTACCTATGTCTATCAACCAATCAGCAAATATTTATTAGCTGCAATTGTGGTAGGTGCTGTAGAGGATAAAATTATATATGAAATGCTCTTTACTCTCAGACTATTTATGATGTAGTTGAGGAGAGATGACATTTACATTAAAAAGATGTGGTTGAAGGAAATGATTGGAAAGGGACAGATTCAAAAACTATTTTAATGAAAAAACAGTCATTTATGCTTAATTGTTGGATGGGACAGAGAGGAAAAAAGGTATTAAAGGTAACTTGGAGTGGTGATACACTTTTCTTAAAATAGAAAGTGAATGTAAGACTAGAAGCCATAGTGGGATCAATAATAAGTTTGTTGAGTTTGAGATTGATTTATTGAATTTGAAATATCAGGAGAACAGCCAAATGAGAATACTGAACAAGCAGTTGAAGATTTAGGATGAGACTAGCTGAAGTACAGAAGAGAGGAAGAGACTAGACATGGGGATGTAGGGGTTAACCACATGTATCTTCCATATGCATGTCCATCGCTAGGTGTATCTGTGTCCATCTTCATATCCTGTGTAGGTGAGAGAGGGTGGGAATGGCAGTCTTGGAAGCTGCTCCTGGGAACCATATTGTAAGGAGACATGTATTCTACCCTGCCTTACAGTGGGTCCCACATTGAGAACTGGCATTCGATCCTGCGCAATGGGCTAGTCAATGCATCCTACACCAAACTGCAGGTGAGGCTGTGCCCCTTTCCCTTTCCTCTCCACCCGCCTCCGTGCCCCCACTCACTTTTGGGGAAGGCTAGAGTACTCTGTTCTTTTTGTGTCACCATCCTCAAATCTAGCCTGCCTTGAGGGCCTCTCTAGAGAGGAAGTTGGAACTGTCTGTTTAGGAGGAATGTGGCTGTTGTATATTTGACCAGACTGTTTTTTGGTGGTTTGGGGAATGGGAATGTAGTACTAGTCAGAAATACGGAATTGCTGATTGCGTCCACTGTGCTGAAATGTTAATGACAGTCTTCCAATTTATACAGTTAGTTATTCAGAGAGCTGACACTGGAGGCTATCAGGAGACTGATACTGCTTCTTGCCTTGGGAGACTCCAGCGACTGCTTATTACCCCTCCACCTGGCTACCTGTTCTGTAGTTCCTCTCTTTTTGAATCTGCATGTGTTCCAAGACCTGGGGATAGCAGGTGGCTCTGCCACTCCTCACTCTCCAAGGCATCAATACCTAGTATTTCATAGGCAAGGGGGTTAACCTGTATCCACTTCTCGGCCAGTCAGCTTTTCAAGAGTAGGTACCTAGAGTGTCTGAATGAGTCAGAAGGTAGACAGAGGGCTGGATAAGCCTTGTGGCTGCCTAATATATAGCCATGGGATGGCCCAGGCTCATATTGCTCATCCTGGTGTTTCCCCGCAAGCTGCATGGAGCAGCCTATGGCAAAGGCATCTACCTGAGCCCCATCTCCAGTATTTCCTTTGGATACTCAGGTAAGAAATACTCTTTGGCCACTTTGACTTTATTTATGTTACTTCCATTTTGTGAACACGTGATCTGTGCTGTTTTCTCCTAGCCCATCTCATGAATATTTGGTTTATGTCAGCTCTCTCCTCAGTCATGGATACATTGTCTATATGTCTGTCTCTCTTTGCTTATTAGAAATTTAGAGATTCCTTACAAGATGAGGGCAGTTATCTCCCTTTTTGTTTGACAGTCCTCTTCTCCATGGGGATGGTTTTGTTCATTGTAGGGGCTTGGCCCTTGGAATGGATTAGAGAGTAACTGGGACATGAAACTAGGCTTTTTTGCAGACCGCATTTTTGGTGTTGACAAGAGCCTGTTGTTCTAGATTGTGTTTGTGCGCGTGCGCACCCACGTTGCATGTAAATTTATGTGAATACACCTGAAGACTTGAGTTCCTTCCATTGACATACACCTCTTGAAACATTGTTCTTCTTCCTGTCAACCGTCCTTTTAAAATCACTGATGGCACAGTGGTTAAGTGCTCAGCTGCGAACTGAAAGATCAGTGGTTTGAACCCACCAGCTGCTCTGTGGGAGAAAGATGTGGCAATCTGCTTCCATAAAGATTTACAGCCTTGGAATCCCTATCGGGTGGTTCTGCTCTTTCCTACAGGGTACCTATGACTTGGAATCGACTAGATGGCAGTGGGTGGGTTATAATCACACGTACCATTTTATTCCAAAGGTAAGAAATCAAGACGGCCCAGATTCTAATCGAGAAATGAGTTTAGCTTTGTCCAGTTCAGAAAAGGAATCTGACTTAGAGTTCTCTCAGTCTTCCAGGTTTATGTCTTAGTTCTTTGGCAGTCTGGTTTTGTTCTGTCTATTTAGTTTTTTTATAAGGGATAGCCACCATATGGTTTTATGTTCACTATATGAAAGGGATGAGCCTTGGTGGCGCAGTGGTTAAGAGCTGTGACACACTACACTGCTAGCCAAAAGTTTGGCAGTTCGAATACACCAGCTGCTCCTTGGAAACCTTATGGAGCAGTTCTGCTCTGTCCTATAGGGTCATTATGAGTCGGAATTGACTCAACGGCAACGGGTTTGGTTTTTTTCTTTTTGGTTTATATGAAGAGGACTGTGCTAGATTCTTTATAGACTATTATTTAGCATTTTCCAGTAATTGTAACTGTTATAAGAAAAGTCACAGGACTAGAAAAGTCTAACAGAATAATCCAAACAAAATAGAAAAAAGAAGATAGTATAGATAAGAATGAAAACAAATGAAATATAGTAAGTAGGATCAAAGAAGTCAGAAGACGGTTCTTTTAAAGAACTAACAACAGATAAATCCTGGTTAGATTGATAAAGAAGAAAAAATGCACAATTAAATGATATCATGAATGAAATGGACATAACTACAGATAGAGCAGAATTTAAAAGTAATAAGAGAATTCTGGCAACTTTATTCCAGTAATTTGAAAACTTGGACGAAACAGAAAAATTCCTAGGAAAATGTAACTTAACAAAACTAACTCAAGAAGAAATAAAAATATGGATAGCCCTAAACTATAAACAAAATTGAAATAGTAGAAATAGTTTAAAAATTTCTCAAAAAAGAAAACACCAAATCCAGATAATTTTACAAGTGAGTCTTAAACCGAACTTTCAAGGAACAGATTATTCCAGTCTTAATACAAAATCTTCCAGAGAACAGAACAAGATAGAATTACAAATCATAAAAGAAGGTAAATTCAACTTCACTAAAATTATAAACTTCTGTTCATCAGACACCTTAAAGAAAGCGAAAAGACAAACAAACCAGAAGACATCTGCAACTCATATAACCACAAAAGATTAGTTATAAAAATACATAAAGAATTCTTAAACATCAGTAAAAGAGAGACAGCCCAATAGAAAACAGGCAAATGAAAATATGAAAAGTTATTCAACTGCTATTAATCAGGGAAGTAAAATTGAGAGCAAAATGAGTTACCATTTGGATTGGTAAAAATTAAGAAATTTGACAATACCTCTGATTGTTCCAGATGTTGTAGATCAGTGATACCTCTTTTATATTGTTTATGGAGATATAAATTGGTACAACGACTTTGAAAAACAATCTGGCATTATTTCTTAAAGTTAAACATTCTTCTCCCTATGAACCAGCAATTTTATTCCTGCGTATGTGGACAGAAAGATGTGTACATGGATGTTCAAAGCAAAACTGTGACAACAAACTTTAGAAACAGCCTAAATGCTCATAATCAGGAAAATGGGTAAATAAATTTTATATATTCTCACAATGGATTATTTTTCAGCAATGAAAATGAACAAACATTAACTGTATGTACCAACATGGAGAAAATCTTAGTAATATGTTGAATGACAAAGGCACAACCCAGAAGATTATTTTTTATTGTTAATCGAAAGTGAATAAAATTAAACATTATATATGCATATATATGTATGTATATGTACATATGCATGGAGTCCCTGGGTGGCAGAAATGCTTAAGCACTCAGCTAGTAACTGAAGGGTTGGTAGTTTGAGTCCACTCAGAGGTTCCTTGGGAGAAAGGCTTGGCGATCTACTGAAAAATCAGCCATTGAAAACCCTGTGGAAGAGGTGAGGCCAAGATGGCAGAGTAGTCAGACACTTCCGGTGGTCCCTCTTACAACAAAGATCAAAAAAACAAGTAAACCGATCATATGACAATCTAGGATCCCTGAACATCAAAGGCAAAGTTGAGGAATCAGATTGATTAGCAGCGGGAGGGAGAGACAGTTCAGGAGCAGCGAGGAGATGCCAGACCTGACCCAGTGGGAGCCAGCGCCCTGCAGGTAGGATTGGCTGGGGTGTGTGGTGAGGCAAACAGTGGCGTTCAGGATGCATTTTCCATGTCGGGAGAGACCGAGCGACGGAAAGTCTGCTCAGGCCTTCAGAGCCAGAGAAAAGCGGCACTCTGTTGGCAAAAGATAAGTACATGTGTTTAACCTATCCCGTGGATCAGAAAACACCCCATTTGGGAAGAACCTCTCTCCCGTTTACCTACTCCCTCTCCACTCTGCACCGGTCCTGGGCTGGCTTCAGCGATTGCCGTGTCCCCGGGTATGGAAGTAGTACCTGTCGTGTGCCCTGAGCCACTGTCCCAGCTTTGGAGAGGGAACAAATTAACAAACAGGAAAAAATAATCTGCCAGCTCCCCTAAGCCAGGAACTCAGGGCAGGCACAGCTCCTTTGGCTAGGCACAGGCATAAGGGGTCCATGGACTTTGAATACTTTCACCCCTGCATAGACCTGTGTGGGCCCATTTCAGCAGGATAGGCCCTCATTAGCACAGTACAACAGGGTATATTCTTGAAGCCTAACTTCACTGTATCAGCTATATGGTAGAGTGGCAGGTTTGTGACATTTGATACCACTCTGCCCGTTAAGCAGGTTCCTCACCTACCCAGATCAGGGACTTGAGGACCGGTGGCTCCACCCACGCTACCTAGCCACCTGCGACAGGTCGAAGAATAAGTGGTGCCTCCCAGTCCTTACAGCCAATAGCATTGGTGTCCATAGTCTGGCTGCAAAACCCATCCACCTCCTCACTCTACGAAACAGGGATGCACTTTCCTCTCAGACACTCAGGCAGATATCAGCCCTCTGCCTTGCTCAGCATGTGACCTCCTACTATAGCCAGATACCTGTGCCTACTGTAGTCACCCCTGCCTATCTAGGACATAGGTTAGAGCCTGCACCACACACTTGGTGACTGACTATTTGGACACCTGAGCTGAATCCATACAAGAAAAGTAAACGGACTCCTGGGCTCACATACCTAGTAACAGATCTAACCTACTGGTGACAGGACATTAGAGCTTCAGAGGTGCCAATAATCAAACTAGCTCACATGAGCAGCCTGTTTGGGCAAAACAAAACAAGAAGCTGGGACACAGTAAGCAAACAAAATAAATATAATAACTTACTGATGGCTCACATACAACAGTCAATATCAGATCACATAAAGAGGCAGACCATGATGGCTTCAGCAAGCTCCCAAAGCAATCAGATTTTCTGGAGGAAGAGAACTTCTTCAAATTAGCAGGGGTAGAATACGAAAGATTAATATACAGAACTCTTCAAGAGATCAGGAAGGAGGTCAGACAGAACGCAGAACAAACCAAGGAATACACAGGCAAAGCAATAGAGGAACTTAAGAAGATTATAAAAGAGCACAGTGACAAATTTAACAGGCTGCGAGAATCCATAGCAGTCAGAAATCCAGAAGATTAACAATAAAATTTCAGAATTAGACAACTCAATAGAAAGTTATAGGAGCAGATTTGAGGCAACGGAAGGGAGAATTAGTGAGATTGACGATAAAGCACTTGACACCAACTTGTTTGAGGAAAAATCAGATAAAAGAATTTTTTTAAAAATGAAACCCTAAGAATTATGTGGGACTCTATCAAGAGAAATAACGTATAGGTGATTGGAGTACCGGAACGGGGGGGATAACAGAAAATAAAGAGAGAATTGTTGAAGATTTGTTGGCAGAAAAACTTCCCTGTTAACTGTGAAAGATGAGAAGCTATCTATCCAAGATACTCATCAAACCCCACACAAGGTAGGTTCCAAAAGAAAGTCACCAAGACATAATCAAACTTGCCAAAACTAAAGATAGAGAATTTTAAGAGCAGCTAGGGATAAACGAAAAGTTATCTACAAAGGAGAGTCAATAAGACAAAGCTCGGACTACTCCGCAGAAACCATGCAGGCAAGAAGGTAATAGGATGACATGTATAAAGCCTTGAAGGAAAAAAATTGCCAGCCAAGAATTATATACCCAGCAAAACTGTCTCTCACATATGATGGCAAAATTAGGGCATTTCCAGATAAACCGAAGTTTAGGGAATTTGTAAACAAACTAGAATTACAGGAAATACTAAAGGGAGTCTTCTGGTTAGAAAATCAGTAAATACAACAGCACAAGACAGAGCAACCAGATATCAACCCAGATAAGGAACTCACAA